AACTCAGTTTAGAAGAATGTCCATGTGTTGTTGTTGTTGTTGTTGTTGTTGTTGTTGTTATTATTATTATTATTATTATTATTATTATTATTATTGGCCTGTTTTTCTCACAGGGTCCGAGAGCCTAAACCACTTTCCCTTGCAGAAAGCGAAAGACGAACTAAGGTTTTGAAACAGTGGGCCGCCTATAAGCAACGACAGGACATGGCCGAGATGGACACCATAAAACGTCTCGTGGCTGCCCAGGAACAAGCTTTAAGGGAATTGCGCCTGGAGTCGGAAGAGCTGTATCAGGCAGCCATTCTGCGGGATGATTGCTTGTTCCCTTTCGACAGGCAAGAACCCCTGCACACCCCTCCGCAGGCTACGTATGAAGCCCCTGAAGGAAAATGCAACGATCTCACAAGAACATACACGTATTGATTTGGGGTTGTGGGAAGAGCAACACCACCAGCAAGCGTAAACGTGCTAAATTATGTTCTGCCTGACCCCTGGCTAGATCTCAAGCACCCATCCAGTGTAGCTGTTTGATAAACCTACCATTGAGACACATAGATCATACAGGAGTCAGTGGAAAACTTTGAACGCTGACTCTTTTAAGAGTTTAATCTTCCCATCTTTGGGTGGCCACACACATTTATCCAATAAATAAAATCTTGTGAGCTACCTAATAAGCCAATCATAAAGGATTAATTGTCTTGGGGGGATTGAAAACACAAAGCAGGGAGTGTTGTAGTGGCCTAGAGTTGGAGCTCTCACCTCACAATCGGGAGGGTGTGAGTTCGATCCTAGGTAGTGGCAGATAATTTCTCTTGTCTGGGCACACCGGGAATATATCTGCTGAACAAAACTCCCCCTTGGTGACAGGAAGGGCATCGGGCCAGTAAATACTCAGCTTCGTTCAGTTGCCGAGACTCCACCCCACAAGTAATTATGCGGTCATTAAAAGATGATGATTGAAAATACAAAGCATTTAAGACCCCATCCTAACTATTCTGAGCTGATTCTTAGAGATTAATAGTAGATGCAGTTAATGTATTGATCAGTGTTTTGTAGGAATTCCATTTTCTACTCCTCCTCTGGCAGTTGAATAAACTATACTTACCAATCTAGTTTTGCCTGACACAGAGTGATGATGAAAAGCCATTTTGTACAGAGTAGTCCTCGACTTAACGACGATTGAACTCCAAATTTCCATTGCCCAGACAGTTGTTAAGGGAGTTTTGCCCCATTTTACGTTTCTTGCTGTCGTTAAGAAATCACTGTGGTCGTTAAGCTAGTAACACAGTTGTTAAGGGAATCTGGCTTTTCTAGGACACTGCAAGTATAAATACATGCCAGTTACCAAGCATCTGAATTTTGATCACGTGACCACGGGGATGCTGTAACATTCTTAAAGTGTGAAAAACCATCTTAACTGTTTGGTCGCTAAATGAACCGTTGTAAGTCAAGGACTACCTGCATATCTGCATTGTGGAGTTGAATGTAATAGAATTGCCAGTTCTCTAAACATCCAGTTTCCTACCGAGTTCATACATCCTGTTAAGCCATAGTGTATTGTGTTTTTTTTTTTGGGGGGGGGGGTGTTGTTGTTAGGTTTATATAAACACAACCCTGTGGTTTGTAAAGGATGTTTTAATACAGACCTGAATGTTGCATACAAATAAAGAATTCCCAAGTTGTCCCTTTATCAACCAGCCACGGTATTTGCACAGCTAATTTGCAACAAAGACGGAAGCTTGTGAACCGCAAAAGTATATCCTTTGCAATGATATGTGGTGAAAGCCCTTTGAAATTTTGCACTGACTTCAGAACAGTTCAACCCAGGTATGGCCAGGTGGAAGCCCAGACTTATGGCGGGAAAAATGCCTCTCTATTCAGGATGAAGAGTTTCTTAAAGATGCTAGAATAGCAGAGCGCCTCATTTGAAGTTTTCTTCCTGAATGGGTGAATTCCAGTCGGGCGGAGGACTTTTTCTCATTTTCCACACTGGTGCATGTTTCTCTTTCTTGGCCATCCGTTCATGCTCGCTGTGGCACAACTGTTCCTGCAACAGATCAAAGCTGTTATTAATAATATCCTAACATTGGGTACACGTCGTGCTTTTCAGAGTGAAATAGATCTGTGGGGTCCTTGGTGCTCTCCGAGCTTAGTTGCCTTCTTACAGATGACCCAAACTAGGTAACATCTACAACCATGAGCTAGTTTGTTTCCTTCCTTCCTGCTTTCCTTCCTTTCTTCCCTCCCTCCCTTTCTCTTTCCCTCTCCACTTTTTTTCCTTCCCTCCCTCTTGCCCTTCTCTACTTTACCCCTTCCTTCTTTCCTCCCTTCCCCTTCCCTTCCTTCCTTTCTCTCTTTCCCTTCTCCCCTTCCTTCCTGCTTTCCTTCCTTTCTTCCCTTCCTCCCTTTCTCTTTCCCTCTCCACTTTTTTCCTTCCCTCCTCCTTGCCCTTCCCCACTTTACCCCTTCCTTCTTTCCTCCCTTCCTTCTCTCCCTTCCCCTTCCTTCCTTTCTCTCTTTCCCTTCTCCCCTTCCTTCTTGCTTTCCTTCCTTTCTTCCCTCCCTCCCCTTTCTCTCTTCCCCCTCTCCACTTTTTTCCTTCCCTCCCTCCCTCCCTGTTGCCCTTCTCCACTTCCTTCCTTCCATCCTTCGTTCCTTCTTTCCACCCTATCGAAATATAAAACCCCAGAGCAGGTGCGTTCTCTTAAAAACACCACAGCATGAAGCCACGAATAAACGTAGGAGTAAAAAATTATATTTCTATAACTTCCATCTTCCAGATCCCTCGCCGGATCCCATAACTGCACCTTGGCCAGCGTGCTTTTGGTTCTCTCCCATTCTTTGCAATTCTTGTAATCCTTTTTCCACTGCGCGCAAGATGGCATCTCCCCGTAAGTGTAGTAATGATGATATAGATTACGGATGCTCCGGCACAGCTTCCATTCAGACCAGTAATCTGTGCAGGCTCGGGGTGGCTGTCGGACACAAAAAGCACAAAACATAACCCTACAGACCAGGAGAGGAGATGCTGCCCAGGGAATATTTAGATAATGGACGGCATAGCTTCATAATGGGTAGAGAAAGAGACTCAACAAAAGAGAAGGGACCCTCCCTAGTTTCTTGGGCTGTAAAGAAGGCGGCTATAATGGTAGGTGGGAAAGACCTTGGGAGTTGGGGCAGAAAAATGAAAGGAGGCAACCTTGGGAGCAGTCAGATAAGAGTCAGCATAGCCCACAGCTGCATAATGGGTGGGGAAAGAGACTCAGAAAGGACCCTCCCTAATTTCTTAGGATGTAAAGGAGAGGGCTGTAATGCTATGTGGGAAAGACCTTGGGGATGGGGGAAGAGATGCTGCCTAGGGAATGATTAGATAATGGACAGCATAGCCCCCAGCTTCCTAATGGGTGGAGAGACTCAAGAAGGGACTCTCTAGTTTCTCAGGCCATAAAGGAGGCAGCTATACGGGTATGTGGGAAAGACCTTGGGAGTTGGGGCAGAAGAGAGGCTGCCTAGGGAGCAGACAGATAAAGAGATGACATAGCCCATGGCTGCATAATGGGTGGAGAAAGAGGCTCAGAAGGAACCCTCCCTAGTTTCTTGGGCTGTAAAGGAGAGGGATGTAATGGTATGTGGGAAAGACCTTGGGAGACAAGGGGAAGAGATGCCATTAAGTTTAGATAAGGGACTACTTACCCTGCAGCTGGACACTGGGTGGGACAAAAGGCTCAGAAGGGACTCTCCCTAGTTTCTCAAGTTGTAAAAAGAATGCAGAGGAGAGAAATGTACAGCTAGTCCTTGACTTACAACAGTTTAGCGACCGTTCAAAATGACAACAGCACTGCCAAAAGCGACTTACGGCTGTCTTTTCACACTTAAGACCCCTGGGAACATCTCTCCAGGGCCACCTCGTCAAAATTCAGATGCTCATCAACTGATTCATGTTTTTGACGGTAGCGGCGTCACGTGATTCTCTCTTGCGACCTTCTGACAAGCCAGATTCAATTTCACAAAAGTGTGACTAACTAAATAACTGCGGCGAGAAAGGTCATAAAATGGGCAAAACTCACTAAACGAATGTCTTGCTCAGTGGCAGAAATTTTGGGGCCCAATTGTGGTCGTACGTTGAGGACTATCTGTACAAGCAGCTGTTCCTTGGCATCGTTTGCAATTGTGCTGAAAAACCCACAATCTGAGATTCACACCCCGATCAGAAGAAAAATCAAACAGCGTGCAATATGCTTTTCAAGCCGGACGTGCCTAAATCTAAGGTACGTTCTTCAGCTTTTGCCTTCTCGCTTTTTCTCAACCTCAATTTTTACCCTTTTAGGTCATACTCACTGGTCTCACCCTCTTTCACTCTACAGTCATTTTTACTCTACACCCATTTTACTCTACGGCCTAGTCTAGGCGGTGAAAATTTCTTTATTTAGCATCATTTCTTTGCTTTGATTGCTGTGAGCCGCCCAGAGTTGGTTCAAATGGCAGGCAGCATATAATTTTAATGAATTATGGTACATCTATTATGCAGCCAATGTTATGTTATAGAACATGTTAAATCTATAACAATGTAATATTCATGGATATTAATATGTATATTACATGCAATACATAATCCACCTATTAATACAATATCAATATTTGTTTATGAAACTCATATGTCACTCATCACACACCATGATGCAACCCTGGGCGACATACAATTTTGTTTTAAGTGTAGAATATTAAATATAATAAAAAACTATGATGCAACCTCCATTAAGAGACTAGACTTTTCTAAAATGGTATAGAGATTCTCCTGCTTAAGCAGGGGGCTGGACTAGAAGACCTCCAAGGTCCCTTCCAGCTCTATTCTACTCTCGCTGGGCGGTGGATACATTTATTCTGAAATATAAGAATGTAAAATATAAAAATTCATGATCATTAAGCGTAATAATTGTTACTGTCAAAAAGCTTTGGAGTTCCTTAGAACATCGGTTGGTTTAACAGAGATTAACAGAGTTGGAAGGGACCTTGTAGATCATCTAGTCCAACCCCCTGCCCAAGCAGGAGACCCTACACCATTTCTGACAGATGGCAGTCCAGTCTCTTCTCGAAAGCCTCCAGGGATTCGTTCCGAGGATGGGAAAGACTGTTCAATCCTGGAGAAAGTCATCATCAGGCTGCTTTCACACGACCTGCAAACACCCCTGTCCTGCATTCACACAACCTGGGAGCTCCACACTCACACAAACACACACACGAGAAAGGCTTTCCCTTCCTGCTGGCTTAAGGGATGACCCTCCCAGGGGCCAGTTTTTCAATATTAGCCACGTATTATGGGCTAATTGTGACCCGGGAAGGCTCACCCGCCAAGATGCCCTTTCAGCGGCCATCGCGTGGCCCCCCCCTCCGCTGGAGAAATGACCCGGCAGGGGCGGGGCTCCTGGGCGATCGTCCCCGCCCACCTTTGTCCCAATGGGCGGGGCAAGGCTCCGTTTGGAACTTTACCAGGGACCCCTAAGGGCTACGGTCAATAGCGCGCAGCTGTCTCTTCCGGTTCTCTTGTGTCATTGGAAAAGCGGATGGGGCGGGGGGGGGGGGAAGGAAGGCTCGGAGGGGAAGTTAAGAGCTACTGTCAGTGGTGAACTACGTCATATCCGGCCCCCAGATGTAAAGGAGAAGGTTCTTCATGTGCGGGTTAAATATATTTGTGTGTGTATGTATATGTATATATTTATATACACACACACATATAAACAACACAGCCTCTAAAGCTTTGACTTTCAAACAATGAAAGGCAGAATATTTATTTTTATATTTTATGTGTATGTATGTATGTATATATGTGTAAACACGCATATATACATACATATATGTATGGTATTCAGCTTTGTTTAGGTATTTTCCCACATCATTATAGTTGTGCTTTTAAAGTTGTAGCAATGTTTCAGCAGAATCTCATCTGCCATCATCAGGCTTCTGTATAGTGTTATACCCGAACAAAGCTGAATGCCATACATACCCGCAAAAACTTAAGAATATATATATATGTGTGTGTGTGTATGTATGTATATGTATATTTATATACACACACACATATAAACAACACAGCCTCTAAAGCTTTGACTTTCAAACAATGAAAGGCGGAATATTTATTTATTTTTATATTTTATGTGTATGTATGTATATATATATATGTGTGTGTGTAAACACACATATATACATACATATATATATGTATGGTATTCAGCTTTGTTTGGGTATTTTCCCACGTCATTATAGTTGTGCTTTTAAAGTTGTAGCAATGTTTCGGCATCAGGATGAAGAAAAAACCATTCTGGCACAGCAGTAGGCTAGCCCCAAATTTAAAACTGAAACGGCTGTGAAAGTCTGACTCACAGACGAACCCAATACAGAAGCCTGATGATGGCAGATGAGATTCTGCCGAAATGATGCTACAACTTTAAAAGCAGAACTATAATGATGTGGGAAAATACCCGAACAAAGCTGAATACCATATACATACATACATACATACATACATACATACATACACACACACACACACACACACACACACACAAATACGGCCTTTAAAGCTTCGACTTTCAAACAATGAATACAAATCAGTATAATGTAATTTTGCCAGTCTGATCCTTTTGAAGCAGTATAGCCATGTGACTTTCTGGGAATTGTAGTTGTAGGGTGGAGGCAGGAGGGTCTCGTTGGAAGTCAAGTTAAAAAAAATATTTATTGCATTTTTAATGGTTTGGGCCAGTGTGTTATTCGCACCCTCGCTCTCTTTAAAGCAAAACAATTTGACAAGAATGTAATTTTGGCCGTTGGAAAGACCCAGAGTTTCTCAGCCTGGAAACCTCAAAACAATGAAACCTGGGAAAACTAAACAACAGATTATCAGCGGTTATTTGTTCTGATGTTGGCTGGGGAAGTGGGCTATGATAGCTTGCCCTCTAGGTCATCTGTATTCCCCCCCAACACCAGAATCACTCTGCTTCCTGGGAAGGTTAAGGCAGGCAGGCCTTGTGTTGGAGCCCAATGCTCCCAGATGATTATCAAGCTGCTGTTAGTTATTACTGCTTCACTTTCTTTAAATGAAATATCCCAATAGAAAAAAAATATTTGTAGCTCAGGGTTTTATCTGTGTGCTCTCTGAGCTTGGTGGGGTTTTTTTGTGGATGTTTCATTACCCAACTAGGTAACAACATCAGTGCTACATCGGATGGGATAAGAAGAGGAGGAGCAGGAGGACTGTGTTGGGTCCTTAATGCTCTCTGAGCTTGGTGGTATTTTTTGAAGACGTTTCATTACCCAACTAGATAACAACATTAGTGCGGGATGGGAAGAGGAGGAGGAGGAGGAGGAGGGGGGGAAGAGGGGGGGGGGAGGGGGAGAGGGGAGGGGGGGGGGGGGGGGGAGGAGGAGGAGGAGGAGGAGGAGGAGGAGAAGTAGGAGGAGAAAAAGGAGGAGGACTGTTAGGTCCTTGGTGTTCTCTGAACTTGGTTGTTTTCCTGCAGACATCTCTTTACCCAACTAAGTCACACCATCAGTGCTGGAAGGGAGTGAGGGCTTTGCTCTCAAAACTGAAAGCTCTTCAGAAACCTATTTTCATTTTCCATCCGAATTATCAATGCAGAGAAGCAGGAATACAAACAGTCTTGCCAGAAATGCTACAGGATTATTTTATTGTCGTCCGAGCATTAAGAGTTCAGGGTTTTCGGCCTTTCTTGCGAAGGGACTGGCCTTCCCCGGAAAAGGCGATAAAACGACTGGCAGCATCATCCTGAGGAAATGGAGAAAAGGGTAGAGAGAGGTGATTCGGACCCCAATTATTTTCTGGAATTGCACTCACAAAGTCAACAGACCAATGCTATTCGGAAGAATAATTTTCAAACTTATGGAGAGTCCAGATATATTTTTGGTGGGAGGTACCAGAAAAGGTTACACAAACCATTTCTCGAGATTTTGGCCCGCGAGCTACATTACAAACACAACGTTAGCATCAGATTTCTGTTCCTTTCCATTTTTTTAAAAAAAGGCATTGAATTATTTATTCTTTTTTATGCCATCTATCAAGACTGCCCAGAGTTTTAAGATGGGAGTTTTAAGATCCAAACGCAATAAACAAATAAGAAAAAAAAATGCTTCGGAGGGGCTTGGACTAGATGACCTACAAGGTCCCTTCCAACTCCATTAATCTTTCTCTGTTATAAAGACATGTCATTGGATTTTTTTTAAAAAAAGCGAACACAAAATATTCACCACATTTTTGGATATATTTATTTCTCCCCCCACCCTCATCTTTTTGGTTTCTGTTAGAAAATGATATCTTCCTGATGTTTGGAACGCGATGTATTTACAGATCACAATAATCAGCTGCAACTTCCCTGGCTGGTTTGGGCGGCATTTGTTGAAGTTCACAATCTGAGATCCAGCTTTAAATAAATAAATAAATAAATAACTCCCTATCCAGCTCCACTCACCTCTTCTATTTTCTTGACCAGCGGCCGGGAATTTCGAATAAATGTGATCTTGCCAATTTTGAACTCGTAATTCGGAATGCCCCTGCAAGGGGGAAAAGTTACCGTTTAAAAAGACAGAATTGAGGGAAAAGGTTTATTGCGGTTGATTTTGCATTTCAGGGCCCCGCGTTCACATGTTCTCTTTTGTTCTAGGCCTGGGTACTTAACATACTGAAATTTTACTTTATTTTGTAAGATGCTATAAGTCAAAAGGATGCTGGCTGGCACAAGCATTTCAAAATCCACCCATGAATCCAGAAAGACAATTGGAGTGATGTGGTGCCCTAGAGGTGGAACTCTCGCCTCACAATCAGGAGGCTGTGAGTTCAACCCTAGGAAAAGGCAGATATTTCTCCCTCTGGACACACTGGGAGTATATCTGCTAAACAAAACTCCTCATTGGCAACGGGAAGGGTATCTGGCCATTAAAACTCTCCGTTATCTCCACTCAGTTGCCCAGACTCCACCTTGCAAGGGATTATGGGGTCGTCAAAAGACGACGGCGATGATGAATCCAATTGCTGGATTCTCACAACACGCTGCTCTACTCCTACCTCACTTTAGTTTAGTTCAGCATAATTTGCAAAGTCAGACATGGTTTGTGGCCCCGTGTACTGGGCAAACCCAGGCAACTATAGTTTAGGTATTAAACTAGGCCTAAACAAACAAGCGACGAGCAAACCACCAGGAAAAAACAGCAATGATGTGAGGGAATTGCGGTGGAAGTAAAAGAAAGAAAAGCCCAACTAACCGACGGATATCTCCTGGTTTAATTGGAGAAGGACTTGACTCAACTCCCTTCTTTTTTCCATCCAACCTGTTCCCACATCCAGAAAACGCCTAAGGAAAGAAGAGAGGAAAATAATCACTTAAATTACGCATCTGGCAAGGGTGCCATCAAAACTCAAACTGAATATATTTATATCTGTTGTCAAAGAAAGTTGGAAGCCGTTCTCTTTTTGATTTTACAGGCAGTCCTTGAGTTAGGACCACAAAGGAGTTCAAAATTTCCGTTCTTAAGTCACACATTTGTTAAGTGAATTTGGCCCCATTTTACGGCCTTTCTTGCCACAGTTAAGTGAATCACGTCGGTTATTAAATTAGTAACTTGGTTGTTAAGTGAATCTGGCTTCCCTGTTGACTTTGCTTGTCAGAAGGTCGCAAAAGGGGATCACTGAAACCATCATAAATATGAACCAGTTGCCAAGCATCTGAATTTTGATTACGTGACTGTGGGCATGTTACAAAAGTTGTAAGTGTGAAAAACATCAGAAGTCCCTTTTTTTCAGTTCCACTGTGACTTCAGATGGTCACTAAATGAACTGTTGTAAGTCAAGGATATTTTTTTTTTGTCTTGCTTTTTGTTAGATTCTCCCTTGTTTCTCTATTTCCTGGCTTCTCTACTGTTTTTGGAAATTTATTGAAATTGTATTTAAAAAAAAACTTCAACAGAACTGATTTAAATCTGATTTTATTCCGAATTTCCCCGAAGCCAGCCCCCGAAGGAAAAAAGGTGAGAGCATTGAATATTGCTTTTTTCACTTTTCTTTACAAGCTCTCAGGAGTTTGCAATCTGATTGAGGCCAGCTTTAAACTCCAATGTTTAACGTACGTAAGTCTTATCTCAATGAAAAGACTTACACGGAATCCCAGATCACTCACATAGCCACTGTGGTCTGCTTCAACATCCTAAAAAGCAAGAGGAAAATATAAATAAAAAAATGAAGCTATTTTATCAAGGCTTCAGAAGGCAGCACAGATAAATTGGAATAGTCCTCAAGAAGAATTTAGCTCTTATCAGGCTTATCACAAACTCTGTTTCCAACTTGTCCGCTGTCCGAGCAATAACCAAAGGAACAAAATCTCTATTAAACTGGTGTTTTATGCTCAGAATAACCCCGAGATTCCCGAAGGCACAAATCAGATTA